GAATATAGAAATGTAAGAATTGATAAAATTATGAAAATTAGAATGTTTAAACAAGTTTTATGCAAAGAAGTTATATCAACTTTACCTGAATGTTTTATGGGAATGGTTATTATGTCTGGTGGTAAACACATCTGCTACCCAGTATTGTAAAACCAAAACCTATTGATAGAGTCTTGATGAAGGCTATAGTTAAGAATATGAGTTGATGAAATTAAGGTAAATGTTTCTAGGTGAACTGGTGAATTTTGAACAGGCTTTATATGAAGTGATTTTATCTCTTTTACCTGATTGTATTGTGGAAATAGACATTGGGTCTCACTGGGAAACATACCCCTGCCTATTGTAAAAACACAAGGCATATAATTCCACCCTTCAAGCGATATTAATTAGATATGCTTAACAGAGAAAATATTATAGCGTCATTGAAAGATTTGTTGAAAAAGCCTAATGAAATATTAGAGATAAAAGGTACCTAAAACAAAAGACTTCAAAACTGATGTACCCCTTATAGGTGATTTTCCTGATATTCTTCACACCTTTGTCTAAGGTGAATCTAAGGGACATACTGAGAGAATTTCTTAAACTCAGGAAGGATCCTTAAAAGTTTTTGTAAGTGGATTATCTCCTGAGCCAAGTGAGAGAGAGAAATAAAATTTCATATTGTCCCTTCCTTCCCAAATCTAGACAAAGTGGTTATCCTTTTTCTCCTAGGGCTAACCATTGCCTGTGCCTAAGGAATGGGTGTGGCTTTCTTCCTGCCTGGAATTTTCCTGCTGTCAGTTCTGGCTACCAGAGGGAATGACTTTGGACAGTAATAAACTTTGCACCCTTTTGAGCCCATAGAATCATTTAACACTATCAGAAATATTTACTATTTTTCCAAGCTGAAACCTGACAAGACACTTGAAAGGATTTATTACCTTTTTATCAGAAATTTAGTAAAATTGGAAGCTGAAGGTTCAGAGCCTGATGGGAATTTTTTAAAGGCCTCCTCGCCTACGCTAAAATAAAACTATGTATCCAGAGGGAAAGAAGCAGATCAGGAATTATGTAGTGGGATGGGTAGACCAACCTATAATGTCACTTAGGTTAAACCCAATTCTTGGGAAGTTGAGAGCAATAATTCTTAAAAATCTTTGCAAAACTAGAAGTGTAACTCTAGCAATTCAAAGCCCACCTGTCTTTTTTTTTTTTTTTTAGTTTTTTTAAATTTTTTTATTGGGGAATTGGGGGTATGGGAACAGCACTGGGGAATTGGGAAAGGGGAACAGACAAGTTCCTGTCGTTTTGTTCTTCAGTCTAGTTGTGGAGGNCTGCTGGGTGTATGCTCGGCTGTTATGCGATTTTGCTGTTATGCGATTTTACCACACTCGCAAAATCGCACACAGCCGACCATATAACAAACTCTGCATTTTGAGTGGAAATGTTAGGGGGTCGTCTTATACGCCCAGTCGTCTTATACGCCGGCAAATACGGTACTTTGTTTTAATGCTGGGAACAATGCTGACTTTTGTGACAAATCTCTCATGATCTGGTTCCTGATGATCTTTAGCGTCATACCTCGCCACTCTTTTGGCATTTTAGATTCTACAATAATAGCAAGAGTTAGTGTGTATTGAGTATTTACTGTGTACTAGCTACTGAATTCATTGCTTCACATCTTTTAAGCCTCCCTAAAATCCTATAAGCTAGAAATTGTCAGCCTTCATTTTATAGATGAGGAATTCGAGGCTTTACAAACGTATGATGATAACCCAAAGTCACAGAGCTGGTTATGTTGGAAGCAGAATTTATATCTAGACATTGTGATTCCAAGAACCCATGCCCTTTAAAAGCTGTTTTCCATGTAGTTTTCCAATGAACTCTTCTTTTCTCTCCATCTGGGATGTCTTTCTTGTAGTCATCCTAGTTAAGAATTCTCAACTCAGTTTAAATAAAATAGTCTCCACTCCCACCACTATGCTACCACTAAACCTAACACATCTATATTGCACTGTCCACATAGGTAATTATTTGTCTCTCCCCTCCTTTTTAAATTTTGAGCACCTTGAGGAGAGGGACTGTTTCCTACTCATCTCTCAATTCTCAGTTCCTTGCCCTGTGCCCTGCATGTGATCAACAAATGTTTATGGAATTAAATATGGGTAACAACTAACAATTATACATTTACTACTTTGCTTTTTCTTTCTTGGCTCCCCAAAATATTCCTTTAAATCTCTCTCTACCCCTTCAAGGTTAAATTTCTCAAGGTTGTCTGTATTTGGTGCCCTCTCCTCACCTCACAGGCGCTCCTAAAACTATTTCTATCTGGGTTTAGCTACCACCACTCTGCCAAAACGACTTTCACTAAGGCCATCAGTAACCTTTGGTTGCTAAATCCAGTGGACAGTTTTCGTTTTACATGAGTCTTACTAGCATTTGACACTATTGATCATGTTCTCCTTGAAATAGTCTTCCTCTTGGTATTGACTGTGCTTCTCTTACCTATTCTGCTATTTACACCTTTCTGCTAAGCTTGTTCACTGTCCTTAACAAATATGTGTTTTTCTCATTGTTCAGTTCTTGGCCCTCCTCTCTTCTAACTATTATATATACTCGCTCCCTAGGTGATCATCTCATTCATGCCCATTAATTCAATTTCTATCTGTTCAGCTAAGAATTCTGACATTTTATTCTTTAGCTCACAACTTTTTTTATGGATTTGGACTCATATATGCAACTGCCAATAGTTCTATTTCCACTTGGAGCACGAATGTGACCTTAAAGTCAACATATCCAAAAGTGACCTGATTTTCTTTACCTCTTCCACAACTACAATAACGGCAATTAAAACAACAACAACAATAAACTGAAAAGCCTGGTCCTCCGTTACTATGTTTCCCATCTCAAATAGTGGCAGCACCAGCTACCTAGTCACATGTTTAAGCCAGACACTCACTGGCTGAAGTTTGAAGGTGGATGAAAATGACAACTTGAACTCAGTTCAGTTACTTTTGCTTCGATTTACTTCTAAAGCAGCAAATCAACTGAGTAAAGGGTAAAAATGAGCTAACTAGGCAGCTAGGGAAGCTCATCTTATTGGTTCCCTTGTACCTCATAAAGGTGTGTCTGCCGTACAGTGGGCACAATGGCCACATTGAGTAAAATGTCCTACAGATTAGAAGATAATTGAAATGGAACACATCGCCTTGAATCACTACCTGCTAATGCACTCAGTGAGCCATGTCGCCCAGGTATAATGGGCAGGTTATTATGCGCCTTGACTTCCTTATTATTACAGCATCTGGACAAGCTGCCCTTTTGGTGCCTGTACTGCAAAGCCTGGAGGTTTTCAACTTATTTTCTATTTAAGGCCTATGTGGAAAATTCTAACCACATTTGACAATTATATTTGAGTCTTCTTCCTCCTTGCCCATGACGCCCAATTAATCACTATTGTTTATAACTCCTAAAGATCTCTTATATTTATCTAATTTCCACCATTATTTATCACCTGAAAGACGGGTATCCCCACTTCCATTCTTGCCTCGCTCTAATCTATTCACCATAAAGCAGCCAAGTGATCTTTTTTAATAGAAATATGTTTGTATTACTCTGTTTCAGGAGAGTTCTTTGCCAAAGATCCAAGGGACACTCCCTTATTCTTGTCAGACCCTTTTCTGTATAAGGAAGTTAAAATGTTCAGAAATTCAATGTAGAGACCTCAGTCAGAAGTGGGTTTGTAATTTTATTTTATTTTTGCCTTGTTGGATTTAAAGTCAAACTATGACTTCTTCACTTTGTGTTACCCTATCACCTAGTGCTAGATGGTTCCATTTCAGATGAATTGTTCAAATTAATTGTTCCATTTCAGTTCCATCTCAAAGAAATAGGTGCCAGTTAATCTCAGTTCATGGGATCCGAGTTATATGCCTGATCGATAAAAATTTTAACCCAACACTGGATGTCCTCTTATGCAACCATTTTTCCTTTGCCAATTAGCCCTAATAAAGTTTTTATGATCCTATTATCTTCACAGAAACACTAACTGTAACATTAATTGGATTAATTACATTGATATATAATTTCCCAACCCCTTCGTTAACTTCCAATAGTTTCCTATTGTTAGAGGAGCGGTTTGATAATGTATACAATGTACTGTAGAAAGCAAAGCTAGATATATAGTGTATATATTTACTAAATTTGTCATGAGCAAGATTCAGCTCCCAAGCTAAACTCACTATGGCTATGCATCATTTAAAGGAGGAATACTGACAACTAGGGAAGTTACTAATTACTGTAATAGATGGGAAAAATGAAAGTTAGCTGAGTCTATGGCTAGTACTCCTGTACTGCTTACTGTGATATGATACCTATTCAATCTGTTCCAGACAGCTGCATAAAGGATTTCTAAACCTGCTATCAGTTGTGTTGCTAACCACAGGAGGGAATAATTTCACACATACAGGCAGCTACTGCAATTCCGAAGAAGTTGTAGGGGTTCAGAATGAGTTACCCCAACATGTGCTTCTGTGGCATGTGGATTATTTTGAGCTCAAGGCACCTGAGACCCTATAGACTCAAGAGAAACTTCTATCCCTTTAAATTACCTAGAAGAATTTAAATTGAGGGTGTTGCCCATAGCAAGAGACAGAGATAATCTTTTTGACCTGTCTATATAGCAGAGATAATCTTTTTGACCTGTCTATATAGCAGGGCAAGCTACTAATTACTGAACATCTCATTATCCTGCAATGACCTTCCTCCTCTCTAAAGCCCCAAGGAGCCTTAACTCATCCTTATCTTAGAATGGCATATATACATCATTTTAACTTTCTGATTCTGAGCCTCTCATGTATGTAGGGTCCTGCCTCTCTCATGTATGTTAGTTTCCCATATGTACATATGTAATTAAATTTGGTTATTTTCTCTTGTTAATGTGTCTCATGTAGATTTAATTATTAGGCCAGCCAAAAGAACCTTGAAGGGCAGAGGAAAATTTCTTCCTCGCCCACAGTTGGCACTGTAAGTAGAATTCCTCAGGAGCTGGGCACTGCTCACCTCAAAGCTGATGCAGTAGAAAGAACCTGGGACCTCATGCATGAGCCAGCAAGGGAAGAATTCTTCCCAAGTCGGACTCCCGGATCTCTACCTGCAGAGTTTGGTGGAAGCAAAGTGGTGAGAGTCTTTTTTTTTTTTTCCTAAATTTAGATTAGCAGGAGAAAATATTTGTGAAACTAGTTTCTTGAACTTAGCAACTATTGGTAATTTGGTATGAGGACGTATGGGTTTTGTTAGTTCTGTGTTTCTCTATCTGGTTTCTCTCCTTTCATCTTGTCGTATGTCCTGAGAGCTTGGCCTTTATGAATAGTGAGAATATTTTCTCTCTGGTCTCCATCATCCAGAGGGTGCTGTTCACAGGTTGCACCTTGCTCTCTGTCCAGCCATGCCAAGCTCTCAAGGCAATTTTCTGTGTCTGTCCATTTCCCCCCAGAGAGGGTAAAAACAGTGCCCTCGTTCTTGTTGTCCACCAGTCAGAGGATGCATGGGCATCTGTCGGGCGTATGCTGTGGACCTGAGCGTACTGGAATCTAAACACCTCATTCAAAAGCGAAGGAGAGGCACGTGACTCCCTGTGTTTTGGAATGGCTGTTTCTAACTCTGGAATTAAACTTTATTTTATGAGGGTTGCATCTTTTTGCAGTCTTTTTTGGAGATGCCTCTTTGTTGCCTTACAGCCGATTCCAAGACCACCCCCTCTGCATTAGCCCCTGACCCTATTAGTCTTGAGAGAGTGTCTCGGTATGACCAAGCCCTGGGGGGTGTCTCAGGTGTGACTGGGACCTGATGGAATGATATCAGTTATCTCCCCTGGGAGGACACAGTAACAAGGTGTCCTGGGGCTGTGTGGTGATGTATGAAGGCATAGC